TGGTTTAAGCTTCACAAATGTGAGAATTTGCTGCTTTTCTGCTGCTGCTCATATATGATAAGTTTCTGAAATGTGCGAAATAAAAAAGGGTAATTTTGAATCAGTACATTAATCAGTAATGAAAATAATTGTTGAAGCTTTACAAGTAAACAATAAAACAGTTGGTGGCCTTAAAAAGCACCTGATGAAGGTTGAAGAAGAGAGGATGGATGTAAACAGTGCAGGTTTTAAAAGGTTAAAAGCCACACATTAGTTAGCCCTTAAGGTTACACACAAAGCACCTCAGCGATTCTCTGAATGTGAACCATTTTTGTTATTTTGCTTGTTTGTAATGATCCAGTGATCAGATCTTGTTACAGACAGTTTCAGAGGTTGTGTGTCTGACTCTCACTGCAGTCCTGCACATCACACCGAGTGGTTAGAGGTCAAAACAAAGTCGCAGCTGAGCGTGTGTGCAGCATATGACTTGCTGCTCTACCCTCTAATACATATAGTACACTATAGCTCCACTCACTGTTTATTTTCTTGGCTGTAACTTTAGACATAAAATTAAAAGATGCCAGACTTTTTTTCCCCCCCATCTCAAATGGAAAAGATTTGCAGAGTTACCAGGTTTCCTTCAGACGGCAGTGAGCTGGGATATTGATGGGGGTGTTAACAGCTGGCGGCAGTTCGACTGACAGAGCAAACACACACACACACACACACACAGGCAGAAACCTGGAACTGGTTAACCTCTGTCTCCATCACTGATTTCACCTCGTTTTCTCCTTCTGTCAAACACACACACACACACACACACACACACATACACACTTACTCCCAGGTTTTTCTCTTCTTTCACCTTCTCACTTTGTTTCTTTTGTTGCGTTACATCTAAGTTAAGTCTCTTACCTTTTATTCTTTCCCTTTTCTCTCCTATCTTTATTTTCTTGCCCTGCTTTAATTATTTTTTTTCTCTCTACACCCCCCTTCTTCTTTACGTACCTTCCCCCCCTCTACTTTTTTTATTTTTCTTCCTTCCACCCCTTTCTGCCTTACTTAATTAATCTTTCTTTATTTTACTTGCTCAGTTTCCGTCCTCAGTTGGTGGAAAGTTTTTTACCCAAGTATCGTACTTCAGTACAATTTTGAGCTACTTTACTTGAGTATTTCCATTTGTTAATACTTCTTCTAGAACACAGTTCGGAGGAAAATTACCCAACGACATTTTCTTGACAGCTTCTATTTACATTTAATATTAAGCTTTTTGAAAACAAATGATAAGATACAATGCATTGCTAAAGATTAAACCAGAGGTTTCCAATCTTTTTGGCTTTTGACGTCAGTGTCAAGAGTGTCTGTCTCTACCAAAGCATGATCAACCCTCCAATCTTCTCAGATAATTTAACTTCAATTGTTTGTGGCCCCAAGAGGTAAAATTATCCAACATTTCATTGAAAAGCAAAGATTAGACAGAAGTTAAAAAAATTAATACAACTTTCTTTAGCAGAACTTTGTTTTATCCTCTTCCTCCTCCCATTAATCAACTCACAACCCTCGGTTTATCTTGAGGGTTTCCTCAGCAGTGCTTTTATTTTTAATACATTTAGCTAATAAGTATTTTTACATTAAAGGGATGGTTCAGGTTTTTTGGAGTAGGTTTGCACCCACTGCTGTCCACTGTAGGTGAAACACTAATTATGGATAACTACCTCATACAACCCCACTCAAAAGAACCTGAAGTATCCCTTTAGTGTTTGGTCATTTTACTTAAAGAAGGGATCTGAATGATTCTGAATTAATGTGTTTCTGTGCTTCGACTTTACTTTCTCACTTTTATTTACTATATATAGTTCAACCTTCTTCCTTTCTTTCAAATTAACATAAAGTTATGAGACCTGACTTTTAGTCTCAATTTGTTTCACAAAAAAAAAATCACTTATGTCTTGACAGTAGGTGATGAGCCAGTAACTGTGAATATGTGTTAACAGGAAGTCACCCCTCTCTCTCTCTCTCTCTCTCTCTCTCTCTCTCTGCAGTATAAAAGACAAGTTGGTATCAGTTTTGACCAACTAGAGCTTGAGTGTGTTTAATTAGGCATGAAAGATTTGTGTTTTTAAACCATCATCTGCATTTAAGTCATAATAACTGATCTGTTGTTTATCAGCCCCTCTCTCTCTCTCTCTGTCTCTCTCTCTCTCTCTCATCCTCGCTCTCTCTCACCCTTTCTCTCTCTCTCTCCATCTCTCTTTCTCTCTCTCTCTCACCCTCTCTGTCTCTCTCTCTCTGACACCCTCACATCCCTGTGTTTCCGTCAGCCTGTGTGTCAATCAACTTGAATGACTTTCTCTCTCATGACCAGACCCACATCCTGTGTCTCTCAGTCATTCTGTCTTTCACTGTTATTGCTCATACACACATTCACTCTCCCTGTCTTGGTTACAGCAAAGCAGCACACAGTATTTTCTTTAGGGTACTGCAGACTGTTCTCTGTACACTTGGAGACAGATGTAAATGTATGTGACTATTAACAAATGATCATTTTGAACCACACTGATATATTATCCCCATTAAGTTGTAAGGCTGAGCAAACATTACCATTTCTGGCCACTCTGTGAATGTAAATCTAATATTTACTCTCTTTCAGCTCTGTGTTTGGTCTCCACCAACTCCTGATGGAAATATCTGTCTCTTTAGCTGCTATATGCTACACTATGTTTGCCAGCTAGTAGCTAGTCTGCTGGCAGGTAGTGTACAGTGGGTTTTTAGAGGTTTTTAGTGGGCAAAAACAGATTCATAGAGCTGAAGGGAACTGCAGAGTCTAGAGATAATTCTGTCTGTTTGCTGCTTTAAATGAAGGTTTAAAAGGTGTCCACTTTGGTACACTTTAGAGCAGTGACAAAACATTATTAACATTTCTATCCACAAATTTGTGTTTAGGGGAAAATAAAGAGCCAAATAGGACTATGACTTGATGTGAGGCTGATGTCTACGATATTCACTGTCACAAAAACCAGTAACCAGCTTTCCTCACTGACCTGAGTCAGCTGTAACACCTAAATAGCGCATGTTGCAATTGAGAGTGAATAAATATTAGTTAGCCACAGCCAGGATTTTAGAAAAATTGTAGTCAATGAGTCCAGATTTCATTCAATTCTGTAAAATAATTATTATAAGGGATCTTTCACATTCACAGTGTTGTTGCAAAGCTTTTTCTGCAAGTATGTAACTATAGTGGAGAATCCCTACTGCCTAAAACAGACTTTTAAAAACATTTAGTCCAATCAGACTTACACAAATCAGCCTTTAAAACTACAACATGTATAATATGTGAACATAAACTCCACTTGATGACATTAACCCCCAAGATTTAAAGAACTATTACTTAGGACATGACCTTGTTGGCCTCAATGATAGCTACGGCCTTTATTATCAAGTGAGCAGAAGTTTAAATAGATAGTTCACACTAATAGACCAATGGTTGAATGATCAGGCTTCTGCCACTGTATGTGCTAAAAGTACAAATGAAAGTTTGACCAAACGTACTAAAACAAAAACAGATAAATGAGATAAAGCCTAAACATCAACAATTTGAGGATATATATCTTGAATTAATTCAAATGCTATAGATCCATCCATCCATGTTTTCTCTGCAGTGAAAATCAAACCAATGAACGTATCTGACAGGGCTGCTTCTCCAGCAATGTTATAGTGCTAAAATGTTCCACTGGTACACTTCCGGGCAATGCATGTCAAAATCAACTTAAGTTGAGTTCTTCTAACATGACAAATGGTGCATGACAGGGATTTGCCGCCACTGAAGGGCAAAGCACAATTTTCACTTTCAACCGCACGTCACTTTGTCAAGTGTTGAGTAAATGTCACAAAGAAAAAGAGAGCCAATGAAATGGAAGAATACTCTTCTTGTTTCACCGGCTAACTGTGTGTCCGTATGGAAAGGAAGTTCACTCCCTTCCAGTGTAAACAAATACAGACTACAGAGTCAACAAGGACAGGAAAGCTGCAAAACAACAGTGTGTGATGAAGGATCCAAAAAATTTAATTTAAGTTAATTTAAGTTAATTTAAGTACATTTTCTAAAATTAACACTTGCCCAATGAGTCCATGAGCTTCCCAGCTAGCAGTAGTATTTGATCTCCTACACGTATAATTCACTGTCGAAACAGTTTTTTTATTTTTATTTTAGTTTATAGGTGTATAAGATCTATCTACAGTCTACAGTCTCTCCACTGCAGGAAAGAGGAAAGACTTCTATATTTAGAGATTATGCCCTCTGATATAATCTGAATTGCTTTTGCGTTGTAAGTGTTTTATATATTTTGCAATACTAGATGAAATAGATTATATGTGAATGTAGAATATGTACAGCGTTAATGTTTGTTCACCTCGTCCCTCCCGACCAGAAAACACGCAGTTCAGCTCACCAGCAACTAGTTTACAGGCTTCACTTCACTTTTAAATAAATAATAATAATAAATAATCTTCAGTAGTTAGTTTTTATGACTGCTCTCTCATTTTATTTGAGTAAAATGAACATTTAACAAAAAACAGCAGAGTTAATAGGCCCTAACACAGGAAATTTAAGTGCTAATCATGATAACATTTTTAGAGATATCACCCACCACTGAGCACAGTGCATTTCTATTGTGGAGGTAGATTACTCAAGGGGGGTTTCCCCTTTAAGTGACTACTCAGTGCAACACAGAGCAAACCACAGCTGACTTCTACTGTATTTTGGTTATTTTACAATACAAAGCACCCATCTACAGATCCAATCCAAAAGCTTACAAATCCTCTCAGTTAATTAAACGTTTACAGAATATACTGTATGACAAACATATTCTAAAGTAGAAATGTAATCCAGAGGAGTGTCAAGAAGCGTTTGATTGAGGCGTCAATATGAGGCATTTTATTCTGATTGGGCTCCAAAGACAATAAAAGCCTCCATGTTACTGTAGCTACAAATTCACACAGACAGAGACCTGTTTCTCTCCCACCTCCATCTTCCAGCGGCTGAGCCATTCTTCTCTCTGTCTCCTGCTGATGTAGTACGGATCCCCAGCCTGGAAAGTGACTCTGGGGACTGGCCTCCTCCGCAGCCTCCCAGTCTCACCCTGCACATACATACGCACACGAAAAGCTTGTTACATGCTTAACTCTTAAATCTACATGTACTATGAGTGCGGTTTTCCTTCATTTTTGGATGTAAAAAAGGAAAAAAACATCAGAAGCAGGATATAAGCTGCTTTTCTCACCTCTCTGGGGGAGTCGCAGTTTCTGTCATCTGGCTCGTCTGCAGGAGAAGAAAAGTTAAAGGAAATGGCCCATTTGTACAGATTTAACAAGAGCTTTAATGAGGAGGTAAAGCCATGGTTTTCATCACTTTGCCCTGGCATCCATATTTAAACTCGAAATGCCTTCAAACACTGCAATCTGGAAGTTATTTGACTATTAAAATTTCAGGTAAACTGACTAGTACTCCTGAAGACCTTTGGGTAAATAGTTTTTTATTAATTAGGCATTAATCATTAACGTAACGTTTCAAATCCTTAAAGCATCTAAAATGTAAAAAAAAAAGTGATCTGTTGTGTAATTTTCTTAAATTAAAGGCTTTTAATTGTTGTATAAATGAGCAAAGTCATATTATTAGAATTATATGACTTTGTATTCTATACCCTTATTCTTCTCGGTTTGCTCTAGTTTCCGACGCCCGCGCTTCTTGCGAGGGGAGGGGGAGGGCTCCGGCTCCTCAGGCGGGGTTGGGGGGGCGTTTGCACAGGGGTCAGAGGTCGCCATCTCCTGGGAAACAGACGGAGCACAGTCTAGGTCTGAGAAAACTGCTGCTGGCCCATGTCTAGACTCATCAAAGACCTCCACAGACATACTAACTATACACACACACGTACAGGCCTTATACACACAAACACACATGCACACACACAAAACTCATGCATACACACACTATCAAAGAGCTACTGCAATACACGCACATACCTATTAGAGTCTGCCCTTGTTAGCACAATGCAGAGCAGGTACGTCCAGCAGAGTGCGTCTGCATAGGATCAGTATAATAAACACCCCCAGCTACCATTAACATACACACACACCACACACACACACTTCTGAGATGAGAAGGGGAGCAGTATTGATGTCGTTAACAGTGCTAATGATTAATGGGCACATGTGGGAGGAACGCCTTGTGTTAAATGATGCTCACCCCTCGTAAAATTAGGTTAAAATTATATGTTTAATGTAAAATACCCTTAAAAATTAATACTTTTCAAACAAGTATTTACACAGCAAAAAACTGAGATGACAGTATGCCGTTTGTTTAATTGTGCATTCAATCTCCCGTGTACATAATCCTGTCTCTAATTCAATGGCTTATCCATTAGCTCACCAGCATTAATGATGCTAAACGCTGATCATGTGTCCGCTCTAAAAGGCCAGCAGGATTTTTATGTGTGTGTGTCGCTAACAGGCGAACAGATTTTATAGATTGGTAGTTAGAAAGTGGAGAGCAGGGGTGAATGTCAAGCTCAAAGGCTACGCTAACACTAGCTAGGACTAACAAGCCCACAAAGGCTGTAATGAGCAGGTGAGAAGGCCTGTAAAAGGCTGAGAACACAAAAGGTGACTAAAAGGGCCTCAGGGCAAACTTAACTACACCAGCAGACATCAGCACTAACACTGGGTACTTAAACAGGAAGGTTTTTAGTGCCCAAAACATCCCACCTACAAACAAAAATCTATATTTTGTGTTAATGTGTGCTTGCCCTTTTGTAAAAATAATTTTAGATAGCTATGTGCATGTGTGGGGCCATTTATCCGCCACTGAATCTGAAAATTAACAATAATACTCTTAAAGGCAGATGGATTAGTATGTCTCCAGTCAGCAAATAGATGACAGTACAGCTCTTTTAAAGAATACTACACTACATTAGAGAGTTGGCAGCAGAATAGTAGATTACTTCCAATAAGTCTCAATCAACTCTCATTAAAATTGTGTTTTAACTGTGTGAAAATGCATAAATTATGTTATGTTATATGTGAAAAGCAACATGTTTACTTCACTTTGGGACTAAACACTGGGAAATAAACTGCTGAAACAAAAGTAAAGAGACTGGACAAATAACAAAGATAATTCTGTTTATAGCATTTCATAGAAGCAAAAAAGTCAAAACACATTCAAAACAAATTCAAACTAAACTCAAAGCAGTCAACTAAATTCAACCACTTAAGTCAAGTGGTTGAACTCAGTGTAAAACTTGCTACATAAAAAATCAACCAGGTGCTTCTTTATAAATTAGCTCACATGAATTTAAAAACTGTTCGCACAAAACAATCAAAATCATGGCATGAATTAACCGAGATGAAAGTAATATGTTTCTTTAAAATTAAATTAAAATGAGTGCACCGGCGTCTATCCTGTGCACATGCAATACCATCACGTGCCCCTTGATGTGAACACATGGCCTTAGCAGTTATTGTTTTAACCCCAAACTGAAACTAAAGCTGCATTAAGCAATTTTTAACATTAGGAGGCAAAAAGACTCTGATACTACATCAGCACCTACAGCTAACTTTAAGGCAAACAACTGACTACTTACACATTCAGCAGAAACAGAGGAATCTGGACTTGCAGTCATCTTTTTGGTCACATGTCGAATGTAAATCCAATTTCAGCCCTGGTTTGGTCCACCAACTCCTGAGAAAAATATCTGGATGTCTTTGGATTGCTATATGTTCGACGTTCTTCAGCCACTTCACAGCCTCCCCGCCATTTTGCGCTACACAGGAAGTGGTTTGATTCAGGCCGGTGAACCAAAACTATAACCTTAATGCGGCTGCAGACTACAGTTTTGACTCAGATCACAAAGAGTCATTTGATCCAATGCGCCTATCAACGAAATTGCTTAATGCAGCTTTAAAGTTGTACTGAGAGAATTTAAACACGTCAGAACTTACTGCACAAGTAAGACCAAACACAAACATGCCCACTTATGCATCAAACTGTAAGAAATCTTCAGGCATAGACTACTTTTGACAGAAGTCATAGTTTGATAGTACAGATACCAAAAAGAGACAAACACAGATAGTACTGCCTACATGTAACCTTGTAGTTTATGTTGTCTTTCACTTTTTCAAACTCAACTCCTTGCTGTCCTACACTTCCTGTTCTCTTTCTGATATTGAATGACAGTGTGGAAAGTACCTGAGTTTTACTGTGCACAATATAGCAATCCAACCAAGGGCAGTTTCTTTTTTAAGTTGGATGAAACTTTGATTATACCCAAGGGGGGAGGGGGCTGAGGAGAGAACAGGATGCAGCAAACAATAAAACAACACTGCACCAAAAATAATAAAATAAGCAGTCACACCAAGCTGATATAGCAAATAAATGCATGATTGGGCCAAAATGTGGCTGTTTCCAATATCAGTATGACAGATGGAGGTAACACATATGTGGAGAAATATGTGCACAGCAGACACTTGTTTTTTTATTTCAGTTATTAGTTCCCATCACAGTAGCCGTGAATCTCGTCCAGATTATGTTTTGGACATGACGTGATTTGGAGAACTGCCCAAACTGAACATGTTTCAGCTTTAGCGGTGTCCTGCTTTACATCATAGATTATTATCATCATCTTCAAGCTTGATACTTTTTATCACGTATACTTTTTATACGTTTTACTATCTTTCGTTTTGTTTTGTTTGCTTTAGTTTTGCTAGCTAACATTAGTTATTACTAAAGATAGCTACTGTGGCCATGTTGGTCAATGTAGCTATCTCTAGTTATCCCTAGAGTTTTCAAACTATCTAACAAAGTCATTTCTTAAAAATAAAAACAAAGATGAAACAAAAAACCTATTTTTTCCACAGTCCACAGTCCAAAACGCAAAGATATTCACTACTATCTACTTCTATCATCTATGACAAAGAAAAGGATTAAATTCACACATTAACCATCCAATGTTGATGAAAAAAATGACTAAAACAATTACAAATTATTATTTATTATTATTATCAAAATAATTGCTGTTTAATTTTCTGTTGATCAGCTAATCTACGTTGCAGCTGCAGTTTCTATTATTTTGTCCACCACATTAAATCAATGAGTGTAGACCAAATGACAGAAACATCTACAAAGATTCTGACCTCTGATGGAAAAGGTCAGGCGGATCTTTATCCCGTTAAATGACGGTGAATATCCACATTAAAGTCTTGATTAAATTACATAGTTTGCAGTAAGCTTAAAGGACAATTAAAGGACCAGTGTGTAGGATTTAGTGGCATCTATCAGTGAAGTAGCAGATTTTTACTGAAATTACTGAACAACGTCTGCATCTATATATATCGACCTGGGAACGGGCTGTGAAGCGTGAAGTGATACTACGGTGGCAACGAAACTCGCGAAAAACGAGAAAGTCCCTAACTACAGCCAGTGTTTGGTTTGTTCGTTCTGGGCTCCTGTAGAAACGGTTTATCTATAAAAAACGGCTCATACTAAGGTAACAAAAATACAATGAGTTCTATTTTCAGACGATTAAACACTAATGAAAACATACCTATGAATATTATATTCCACAGATCCTCCTAAATGTTACACACTGGACCTTTAAGTTAATTAATACAGGATCTCAACACAAGCTCAGCTGCTTGCAGCACTAGTTGTAACATAAAAGCTGTTTCATTTTTTGACCCAAGAAAGTAATTTTTAATCTGTGAACTGACTCATGGCCCTTTTTGTCAAACACAACCATAGTTTTTTCCACAATGTCTCTGTGACCTTTGTGGTTTTGGTGCAAAACAGAAACATCACAAGAAACCAGACCAAGCTGCATACATGCCAAGATCAAATCGAAAATTCTAGCAATGAATCACGCTTAGTCCGAATTAAGACCTTAAGTTTTACATGAAAGAAATTCCAGTAATGATAGTTTTGCTTTACTCCTGATGAAGTCTAGCTATTAGTGTGCATGAAAGGTTTTATTATTTCCATCAGTTGACATCAAATCTGACTGTGGTTGCAAGATTATTTCCATGTAAAAGCATTGAATAAATGTTGGGAAAGGTCCTAATGTATCTCTTGAGTCCTACTGAACTACTACTCTGAAATGTTTAAGCAAAAAGCACAAGCGCAAACACACGTACACATGCATAAAGAAAGACCCACCAGCTGCTCCGCACATGGGAGAGAAACGAGGGAGAAAGGAAAGAGGAAGAGGCCGACACCTTAACTAACTTATAGTGTGAGTGTGCAACAAAAAAAACAGCAGCCAGATAAAATGCTAAACAATAAGTGTGAAAGGAACAGGAAAAAAGATAGAGGCTTGAAATAGTTAAGGACCTTTTAGCTAATCCACTTATCCATGAAACTATCATCATCACTGTGATAATATGTGCGTTCGGGGCAGTGTATTTGTGTAAATGTGCGTGCGTGTGATTACTTGTAATGGAGGTGAACGGGTGAGTGAAGGAGACAGAGGAGAGAAAGTGAGGCTCCCTCCCTCTCTGCTCTCTATAGTTAGTGTCACTGACAGCTCCACCCTGAGCTCCACACAATGGCTCTATTCCTGGACACACTCCACTGTGTGTGTGTGCGTCAGAGAGAGAGAGAGAGAGACAGAGAGTTAATGGGTAACATACTGTTCGCTGGGCAAGAGGCTTCTTATATTATATTCTGTTCCAAGAATACTACATGTGATAATACTGCTGTACTAGTCCTGTTATCATCAGTAAGCATTACCTAACCTACTACAACAACTGAGGTCTTTTCCACTATTACTACCATGGCTACACTACTGCTACTGTTATACTACCACTAACCCCATGTCAACACAGCAGCCTGCTGCCTCGCTTCTGCTGCTGCCAGTCTTTCTACATGAGTTTGTCCTTGATAAATACAATAATACAGCCTTGTTAATGTATGAATAGATTCTGTCCACAAAAACGCAGGAGAGCTTTTAATCTCAAACAGGTACAGGTGTTGAGGTAAGCTCACATCAAGGTTCACGTCAGTGGAATATTCCACAGATATAGACATCGAAACTGTTGTGAATGGTTATAATGTTGCTGGTATAATGTCGATGTGATTATTAAAAGATCATTGTCACTGTCTCTTTTTGCTGGGAACCGCCCGCTGCACGTAGAAATAATAGGCAAGACCTCAACTCTTCTAAGTAAAGTGTTAACGTGTGACACGCACAGCTCACACGGGCAGTGTGGCTGCTCTAACCTGTTAACATGGGGCCGAAATAAAAAGCAAGACGTTTCACAACACACACACACACATTGCTCATGCATGCTGTGTGGAACGGGCTTTACACGGCTACAGCTTACCTACACTAGCCCTACTATGTAGCCCTGCTACCACTGCTACTAAACACTACGACTACGACTACTACAGCTGCTACATTTACAATCTATCACCCCTACAGCTGGTACTACTACAATGCTACCACAACTACTATTTTCACTACTATCACTACTGCTACTACTAGTTTAACTAGTCTACTAGCTTCAATTACAACTATTACACCACTATCTAATCTAATGTACTGCTGCTATTTAAACTTCTACTGCAACTAATATATTATTACTGCTACCACTAAAATGATTTTGCTTCTACCACTACTGTTGGTACTACTACTACTACTGCAAATATTACTCTAACTATCAACACCTGTATTACTACTACTGTAGTAATACAATAACTAGTACTTCTATTACCACCACTATTACTACTGCTATGGGACAACTACAACTTCAGCTAGCACAATAACAAATATTACTACTGCAATTACTCTAGTCCCAATACTACTGCTACTAAAACAACTACAATACATAATACTACTTTTATCAATACAAGTGCTCCTACTATTACCACTACTTAAATAATTCTACTAATGCTACAAATACTCTTCCTACTACCATACTGCTGTGGTTGATCATGTTATTACAACGACTACAAGTAGTGCAGAAAATACAACACTAACATGCAAATCGTTTGTTACGTGTAACCTGCACCCGTGTGTGTGTGTGTGTGTGTGTGTGTGTTAGTATCTGTATGGCAGGACCAACATTAATCCTGCCTACCTTGTCAGAGCTCAGACATCAAAGCATGATCAGACTTGCTCTCCTGCACACATGAATGCACATACACACACACACACACACACACAGATAACACACTCACTCACACTGTAGTTCACTCGGTATTCCTTTCTGTTCGGGGTTGTTTGATCAGCTATATTGACTTGCTGATTCGACCACAGAGTTCAGTCAGCACAAAGACACGCAGACACACACAAGGTGAGCGATAAGAGGATGAATGGAGAGAGAAAAATGGAGGAGAGGAGCTGCCAAAGATCTGAAGTCAGAGAGCATTAAGAAATATAAAGTATGGTGTCATTACAGTAATAATGCAGCTCTGTAACACCACTCACAGCTTATTACTGCCGGCCTAAAGGTGATTGGAAAGTTGCCAGTTCAAACCCCCAATCAAGGTCACACATAGGAAGTAACGCTTTCACCTTGTGAGAAAGTAACAAAACTCAGTCCCCAACTTTCTTAAAATAAAATAATAAATAAAAAACACAGTTGAAGTGGGAAAACGTTACAAACCAATTATAGCCACTGTAGTTTTTATACTCTGTCCTCTGATCAGTGCTGGTTACGGCTTAAAAAGATCGTGACCAGTGATGAATCAAAGCTCTCTTCATATTCAATCTTTCTGTCTAACATACTGTTTTTTTTGTTCTTTGAATATATGCTGAGTTTGATCCAGTTGGGTTTGTTTTTCCATTATTTTTTGTCTGTGTAAAGTTCTTCATGACTTGCTTATGAGAAACAGGTAACACAAACAGGTGATCTTGCTTATATGTCCTTTGTTCTAACGTCTTTCCTGCATAAACCAAAGAGGATTTTGAAAACAAAAAAATCAATTATTATTATAACTTTCTTCCTGCACAGTTTCAGCCAACATTTTTATCAGTTATGATAACATTGTACTTAACAGAGTAATTCAGAGAACTCAGAACGTGGCAGTATCTCTAAAAACAGGTCTGACGAGTAGACGAGAATAAGAAGACAATCATACAGCTTTAAAGTGAGCCAATAGTTTTGCCAGATGAGCTACCACGTTGCTAATAATCCCTCACAGGAAAACCACAAGGGCGCAAAACTATAGAAAGAATGGTAGGTCGAAGTTGAACCAGGAAGTTCAGCTGTAAGTTGTGGTGGATGCTTACATCAGCCAGTTTAGGAAATATCTTGATTGCTCACTTTGGCAGCCTGGTTGCCTAAATTAGTTTGTATCAATGCGACTTTCATCCTTTCTGACTTATTTTTAACACTGTCTACACATTCTGAGCACTTAGCCATTACTCTGGCGAGTACAGTGTTAACATAATGTAAGAGAACTTGTAAGGGTTTATTACATTTTCTTTCAACTTTAAGCAAACTGGTAACAACAAGTATGCGGAAAATGTGGTGGACGGATCCAGACTGAAAAGTAAAAATGGTGACATATTTACGAGGAAATGCAGCTAGCATTACATGTTGAGCATATGTATTGAATGTTGAGCCCTGCAACCGCTCAGTGTGTATGGGAATCCCTGTTCTTAGACACACTGCTAGAAAAAAAAAGTCTAAATTTAACACAAAAGAGCAGAAGTAAAGCAACCAAAGGAAGCTGCTGCGAGGAAGCATGTTCTCAGTCACATTATCTGTAAAACACACTCAGATGTGACAATTAATTAATGCAGTAAGTGTGTCTAGTGTTCTGTGTTATTAGAAAAAGCTGATCTCACTGCATGTACCACTCAGCAGCTAGCAGGTGGAAATACATAAATGTGAAGCAAAGTGTTCCTGGAAACAGTGCATGCATGTTTAACATATTTTTTCATGCTAGACAAGGGAATTTTGTATAGGTGGATAGATAATCAATCACTCTGCTGCAGTGTAGAGTATAAAAGGCCGACGACAGCATGTAATTACAGTACTCACAGGAAGCAGCTGTTTGCGTTTCCTGCCAGGACGACCCACTCTACGCTTGGTGCGGGGGCTCGCTGGCGTCCCCTCCTCTGGACTGTCCTGGTCTGCTCCATCTTCACTCTGGCCAATTATAGAGAGGCGACATCAAACACTGAGTCAATCCAATGATCGTATGAAGTCATAATTGATGTCAGCAGTGAGGCAAAACAGGAGGAAATAAATAAATGGTAGCACACTCTTGACAGCATCTGCAGTTTTTAGAAAGTTTCACACTTTTAATGACATTTTCACCAGAAAACAAAAAGATAAACTGAAGACGATTTAAAAACAAAGATCTCAAAACCCAGCCAAATTCCTATTGAACAAAGCAGTTCTCGAACTATAAATGGGCAAAATATGAAAGAATTCACTGTAAATTATATGTTTGCAGACATGAAATCCGACTTTGTTTAGAATAGCAAACAGGACGGATGTTGTAGTGTTTCTAAATCTGCTCTGGACTGATCTAAATGTGGATATGCAGCAAAAAACTCTCATAGGATAAAAATGAAGACGTTAAATTTCGATCATCATTCGAGATCTTTTAGAAACCTGTGGAAACCTCAGTCACAAAATACCTTTTACTTTAATACTGTCTTATATTGATTAATTCAGCCCAGCAGTTTGTTCCTGTGCTCAGTACACAGCAGAGACAAGGTGGTTTGGTACAGAGTTTTAGAGTAGCAGTGGTGTAATTTTACAGTGATATATAAAATAAAAATAGCATGCTGCACCTGTGTGCTGGCTAGATAGTGAGAGTGTGTTGAAAATTTGATTTGGCTGTCCACTATGACTGACTGAATGTGATACTGACAGCAGAAAGTCTGAATTTTATAATGACATGAACAGTATTTAATTTGGAGCAGTCATCTGGAAGATACCTGATCCACTTACTAAGGTCAGTATCTATTTGAAGGTACTAAATACTACTTTTTAAAGGCCTTAATAATTTTTTTGTAAATGTACTATTGTTATGACTGAACCAGGACACACAAGTACCTGATGAAAACAGTTCTTTTACCAATAAACACGAGCAAACAAGTCCAAATAGTCACAGGCAGAGTCACAAAGGCAAAATCCAAAAACCACAAAATACACACACCACACTAAGAAATTGCTGGGACGCTTGACTCAAGGAACAAAGACGAACTGACACTGAAGGGAAGTAATATGTAGGTAACATATACCCTACAGGTGGGAGACTAATCAGACACACAGACGACGGGAAAACTCACAAGGGCAAGAAGTACTGAAACTAGAGAGGTAGGTAGAAAATAAAACAGGAAACATGACTGTGACAACTATACTAGCTGTCACTGTAACAAAACTGGGTCAAAGATGCGTAATGACTTGTTAAGGACTCGAAACACAAATTGATACTTGACTTGTGACTTGTAATAAGAATTACTCTGTCCCACCACTGCCTTTTCGCCTCATGATAGTTGGTGTTTTCTCATTATATTGACATAATCATAAGAAATTAATGCATACAAAAACAGCCGATAGATAGTGGCTTGAGAGGAGGGGATTTCTGAGTACAAACCCCCACATACACCAATCATTGTTTGTTCGCTCCCTCCACTATCACAAAATATCAGACGCAATCAGATTTTTTCCCAGAGCTATAAAACCACTCTCTCCCACACAGTCATAATCTGTGAGTTGATTCAACCCCCTCCCCAATAATTTAAGGGTCCAACCAAACCAGAGTCAGGTCCTCAGTTTCTATTTTTACTTTGGATCTGGGCAAGATTCGAGTTGCTGAGAGTCTCGAGTCTGTCCAAAGTTTTATTGGATCCAGGACGACGTGAAAGAGCCGAATGAAATAAGCAAGACCTGCTGCGTCTTTAGTTAAGCAGTGAAAACATACTATCATATCTTAGCCAGGAGACAAGAATTTGCCTCTTTTATCCGTATTTGAGCTCTCTCTATGTGGATCACAGCCTCAGGCAGAAATTAAGTAACTGTTACAAGGAAGGACCATTAGACTCTTGTAATGCTGAAGTGAACAAGGCAGCTTTAAATGTACCGTTTTTAAGCATTGGTTTTCCCATCTTGTTCAAAGCTTGGTTAAGAGGCAAATGGGGTTAACACAAAGTGTGTGAGAGTGTTAACGATTTCCTTGGAGCATATTTAAGACTTTGGTGCAGTTGCTGTTGGGTTTGCTGGACTGGGTCTTCTTAAATTGGAGTAAGACATTAAAGGTTGAATACACCTTAGATTGGGGCTGGGCGATACTACTTGAAAAGATGATCACAATATGATTAAAGATGTTTTCCACTATTGGTATATTCACTCAATTTTCAATTAATGGAGAAAATAACCAGACGGGAATGTTTGTGTTTGGCAAATCCAGCTAATTAAAAAGAGATAATCATTTCATCATTAAAAAATCCAATATTGCCATAAAACAGTCTTGCACATTGATTTCCACTATCCACAATGGCCTAAATCATCCAGAGATACTTGAGACATTAAAGAATATAAACAATATAGCAATATCTGACTGAATTTATATCGTCTCATGGTATATCTGGTGTCTTCTCGTCCAGTTGTTCAGACACACTGCTGTGTAGCCGTTTCTCCTGCTCTCTTTTGTTATGTTTAGACTGTACAGGAGAAACTGTCACAAGTTTTGTGTCACACTGTAACTCTCAGAGTTAGTTTAATAATAACATCCGCTCTGTTTCTCGACTTTCTTCTCTGACCTGACACTGTACGCTGCCTGCTGTCAGCCTTGTGTTTCCATTAAAGTCTCCCTTTCTCTCTCTCCTCTGCTGGACCCTCTGTTTCGGTGACAGTGGAGTGGTTGCTAAGGTGCAGAAACTGCTTAGCAACTGTCTCCGACGGGGCTGCCATGCTGACTAAACATTCTGATGTCACTTCCCTGACGATCAGCATAGCAACCAGCTAGAACGGGTAATGGGCCCTGCTCCTGTCTGCCTGGTGTGCTGTCCATATGCCGGTTATCACGACGCACACGCGCAGACACAAGCGCATTTTAATGCTACAAGTGTACGCAATCATGTACTGAAAGTGTGACAAGTACAAAAAAAAAAAAAAAAAGCATACAACTAAGTCAAATATAAATCAACAGAGCAAGAAAACTACTAAACCAAATGCCTTCAAGAATGTGTCAACGCACACAAAACACACCAAACTCACACACTGGCCAATCTGTCCATATATCTTTGGTCTATTTCTGTCTCCCGGCAGGTTATTTTAGGCCACTGCAGTTGCTAAGCAACCAGACTGCAAACCAGGCAGGCAGAGGAGGATCCCATCAGCAGCAGACGGCTTGTCCTCTTTCTTTCTACCCTATCCCCACGTCCTCCTCTATGTCTCTCTCACGTTTTCTTCATGGGGCTCGTTCCGTTTAACTCCCCGCTTTTCTGCTTTCTTTCTGTTTTTCACTTTAAATCTACTGTCAACAGAACAAATACTACACTTCAATTTATCTAGCTTTAGCCTTCGTGCAGATTTACAACACTGAAACACAGTGCAGTACAGCAAGATACAGCGCTATCCCAGTGTTAAAATAATGAATATTTACACGTTTACATGCATTTACACATGGGCATGTACAAATTCACAACACAATGGATTGAAAATTACAATTGACATGAATCCTAAGCACCATTATCCCCTAGGTACTCGTACTTTTAGCTATGTCGAACCACTTTTAGTCAACGGAACACCAAGTATTGCTTTTACAGATCATACACATCTTTTTACAATCGATGTCTAGTTCGTTGTGCTATATATATGCTGTATTCATAGGCACTTGGCAGCCAAGGCATTGAGGTCTCTTATGCTCAAAACAAAGTAGTTCTTGTATTGTCTAACAATGATGTCAATGTCAGAATCAGGGGGCTGAATATTGGTGTAAAATCCCAAAGAACTTCTCTCTAAAGCTTTATTTTTTTATTCTTCACACAATTTAATTTTATTGTAAAACGTAGTAAAACACTGTTATTGCAATCCATTGCATTGAGACAGCTACAGGAACATAAGTTTGATGCAGCTAGGATGAGGCTGTGAAGTCAGATTGTTGATCAGATGCGTCATGAGAGCTAGTTTGTCTCAGGCATACTGTAGCCTTAAAGGTCCAGCGTGTAGGAACAGTGTAGTTAGAAAACCCAACTCCATCACTCCACCCTCCTACTTCACGCATGAAGGATTGACTACGGTGGCCGTGAAACACGCAAAACACATGAATGCCCCTATTTAGAGCCAGTGTAACTTATCTGTATTAAGGGAAAGGGGCAGTTATAAGATACAGAATCAATTCTCAAGCTATTAAAGATCATATAAAGTATAGATAGAAATAAAGTTTTGAGCTTGTGAAGGGACGTTCATAAATAATTTGAAGGGCCTGTGATTGTAAACCACATCAACCGACACTGATGTAACACGTGGACACAGACGCACACACATTAAGGTTACAAGTGTGGATTTTGTGAATCTGGTTTTACAGCCAAAGACAAACCTAACCTCACCGCTGATATAATTTGTGCATAAATTTTATTTAAACGTTTCCTTCACCATCTTTAAATCTTTTCTACACATTCACAAACTTTAAATGTGATTTAGTGCGATATACAACTTCAGGCTTTGAAACGTGTTAACCCTTTTTTGAACAGTACAGTAGCTTCTGTCATGTGTAATGGATTATAACTGGAAACAGTCAAACCACACACCGCTCTATTCTCTTTTTATTTACAGCTTGCTATGTCTCCCACTCTGTGACTCACTCGGACCTCTCTCCAGGATATTTTTTTAAAATTCTGTGAGTTAAGTCTCAGGAAGTTCAAAAGCACAACAAACTCTATAGTGAAAGGAAAACTCTATAAGGGGAACTTGTTGGCTCTTTGCCAGTGTGTGAATGTGGAAGTAAGTGAGTAGGACAGCTCTTTATATATAGCAGCACTATAGAATGAACTTCAAACTTCTCACAGATTTACGAGGGCTGCCCTGGGCTCTTGGGGTGCAAATGAAAGAAGCCATTTTTCACCTTGTGTATGTCTGACTGTGTGTTAATGTGTGTGTTTGTGAGTGTGCATGCTCATTTGTGTTAATCCCCCCCCCAAAAAAAAAGATTCAAAACCCTGTGCTAGTTTCTCCTGCATGTGGTTGGGTGAGTGTGTGGAATGCAGAAAGGTCTGAAGTGAACGTAAATAAATAACTGTAAGTTTAATTATTACAGACACACAATCCTACTTGCCAGGTTTTCTGCGTGTGGAGGCTAAAAAAAGCTCTCAACTGCAAGCTTAGAAGCCAAAGTAGTAGTGGTAATGATAGCTGTAGTAAAAGTGGTGGTGGTTGTAATAATATCTGTGGCTGCGAAAATAACAGTAGTAGTAATTTAATATTTATAATAATAGAAGCAGCAATAATAAGAGTAACAGGAGCGGTAGTAGTAGAAGTATCTGAAATGTAGTAACACAAGTGGTGGTAAAAGTCCTAGGTAGAAAACTGAGTGTATTCATTTAAGTGCGTATTTAAGTTTAATTTTTCAGTACTAGGACTTAAGTATTTCCATTTTATATATATAATTCTGGTATATACTGTTACACATACTATACTATGCTGCTACTAATCATACCACCATGTCACTCCTGTCTTGAAGTCTGTTGTATAGTCTATTTTATTTTCTATTCTATTTTTACTTTATAAATAATTTCTCTATGTATCTGTACTTATTTCTGTCCAACACCTGAATTTCCCTTCTGGGGATTAATAAAGGCGTAACCTATCTTATCTTTATTGGTATTTTAATTTATATTTACAACACTATTGACAGAGGGAAATATTGTATTTATGCTTAAACATTTATCTGATGGCTTTAGTTACTGCATGCAAAACAACTGATATAGTGCCATTATTTAAATTACAGTAAAAGTCCAGTGTTCAGTCTGCAGGTTACAGACATCTAGTCTTAACCCCTACAACTTGCATGATCTAATGCAACGGCTGAGGTTGAAGGCTGAAGCACAACGGTTGTATGTAAAAATGAGACAGCCAGTTCTACGGAAGGATGACACACTTGCCCCTGAGAAGAGTCAGCCAGCTTATCATGGCAGTGAGCAACCTAAAGTTAAGGAACAACTCAGCAGCAGGGACACTTTTAAATTTCAGAAACCAAACGGACCAGAACAGATCAGCCTTTTCTGCAAGAGTCAGGAGCCTCTCACAGTGTGAAGAGGTAGATAAATGTCATCCAGAGCAGATTGTGAAGTGGATCCGGGAAAGAATAGACGCTGGAAATGTGGCGCACCAGCCACAGCCCTGATGAGTGTATCCTGAAAAAGGCATGCAGTGACTGCAGTGGAATTCATCTTCAGGTACTCCGGAAGCAAGAACCTAACATGCTGCTTGTGTCTTCACCAGGTGATGGGACCTAGTATATGCAAGCTGGGAACAAGGACATACTGCAGTAGGTAGAGCAGTGCTTTTATGTGGACAATTGTCTGCAGAGCCTGACATCAGCTCAGTCTGCCCATCATCTCATGGACAAAATGTGGTATCTACTGGCTGCCGGAGGCTTCAAGATTTGGCAGTGAGAAATAATCACCCCCTAGTTGTGAAGTATCTCCCCACAACTGCAGTCTCTACCATCATCGAGTTGGGGCCTACTCAAGACCACACAAACCCACAGGATACAAGCACAAACCTCAAGAGCAGCAAATCCCAACCACAAGGATCCGAGCCTGCCAGGTGCACCCGGCAGTCGTCTTGCTGCTCTTGCGCCTGAGATTGACAAGGACTCTATTTGGGTACACAGCAAAATCAGCATACCCAAATTAACATTGTCAGATTTAATTTCAACACTTTTAAAGTGTCTATATGGGTCCACGCCATGAGTGTTAATTTAACTCTTTTTGGAGTTTAACACTAATTTGGTGTGATTTTTGACTCTTCTTGGAGTTAATATTTAACACTTCTTAACACCAACCAGTGTTAGTTTTTCTCAACACTGTTATGTAGTGTTAGACATTAACTCTCTCAGAGGATCATTACACTTAAAAGGTGTAAATACAGCTCCTCCTGGAAATTATATTTAAATTAAAATTTGCTGAAATAAAGGTGGACATATTTTGTGTTTTACAATTAAACATTTATTTAAGTATTTGCACAACAAAAAATTAAAAAATGTAACAATATGGAACAATATAGTTCCATGTGTCTTTTCACTCTCATTAGAGTATTGCTTCTGAAATGGTCTAAAGTAAGTTAACTGGTCAACAAAAATCAAAGCATGTTCATTACTTTGTTCCTGTATACAGTATGCGTATACATGACATACAAGTGTTCATCGAAATAAAGTGTATCAACAGTAGAGGCTATTATTAAAGCACGCTGTTCATGTAATATTATATTACAGATTTTTTTGAATACAGGTAGGTCATTGGATGTTCCAGTGCATACAAACAAATCAATCTGTTCAGTTGAAACATCTGAACATGGATCTAAATGTAATGTTTGACAGCAGGTAGAGAAGGATCTTCACTTAGTGCATTATAATGTTCAATATGAAGCTCTTCGGAGCGTAGAATTAGTCCAGGGTTATTCTAACTGTGCTCCAACCTTTCTGAATTGGTTTCATTTTAATGGTCTTGCAGTAGTCGAGCTCTCAGTTCCTTGATTCATGGGTTTTCCTTTACATTTCCAACATTGATGTTGTAAACTGTCGTTTGGATGAAAGTGTAGAATGCGGAAAGCGCTTCATCATAGGAGAGACTGAAGACGTAGTGAGCTTTAAATAGCACATCAAAAGCAGCCACTGATGTCTGAGCCTTGCATGGGATGGCTTTCTGGTACACAACAATGCAGAACCTTTGGATTTTCTTCTTTTGCTCTGCGGTGCAGAGGAGGAAAGGCTGTCTTGCATCAACTTTAACCAGGAATGTAGTGAGGCTGGCTCCTTCCTGAAGTTTGAATGACACATTCATGCATATACTTATAGTGATTTATGTCATTTAGAGAATCTAAAGGTTTAACCTCCTGGGACCCTGCGTCCTCATATGGGGACAAAGTTTTATGGTAAATAAGTTGAACAATTAGTAGTTTTCACAAAAAATGATGTCATTTTTTGTGAAAACTACTAATTGTTCAAAGACAATGCTTGGTTTTTATGTTTATCAGGTCCTACTAATACCCAAATAGCTAGAATAAATTAAAAATGCACGCCAAACAAAAGCTTGGGTCTCACAAAATAATACTTAACATTAAAAATGTATGTGAACAACGCAAAAAACACAAACAAAGCAGGTAATATATCAATATTACTTAAAACACAAACACTATAGACTTTAAAGAAAGGTTT